ATAGAATAAATGGGAGGGCAGGATAGGATTAAGGGAAATAGAGTTAGTTTTTCACAACATGGCTACTATGGACGTGTTTTGCATAACTGCACATGTACAACCTATATTGAGTTGCTTGCCTTTTCAATGAGGGTGAGCGGGGAGGGAGGACTGGGAAATAAATATAGGAAATGGGGTACAGAAGTCTATCCTGCCCTACAGGAAAATAGAAGGGGAAGGGGATAAGAGAAGGGGAAAGAGAAGAGAGGACAGAGTAGGGGAAGGGATATTCAGAATGCATGACATCTTGGGGTGGGGGTAGAGGGGAGAGGGGGTAAAAATTTGGAACTCAAAAACTTGTGGAAGGGAATGTTGAAAACTAAAAATAAATACATTTATATTAGAAAAAAAAAAAAGAAAATATTCCAGCTCAGTGGAACTAGTGTTGATTGCCCTTAGAAAATTCCAAACCCCAGCCACAAGTCTAAAACATCAGCATTTTCAATCACTGATTCCAGGGTTCCCTTACTTTAGAGGAGATGAGGGGAGTACAATAAAATACAAACTCCCTTATTTGGCATTTTAAAACCCTTTACAAGGGTTTTTTTAAAAAATAGGCTCAAGCCTATTTTTCTGGGCTGATTACACATTATTCCCCTTAGATACTATACTCCAGCCAAACTGCTCTACTTGTCATTCCCTAGTACAGGACATTCTGTCTCCTCTCTGGAGCTTTTGTGCAGCCTCTGCCTAAACTTCTGGAATGATTTTACTATTCATCTCTGTCTAGTAGAATCCCTTTCTCTACCTTCAAGGCTCAGCTTAAGTGCTCCCAGGTCCAGTAAAAGAATTTTGCTGATTCTCCCAATTGTTAGTGTCTACCTATAAAATATTGTGTATTTATTTTGTAGATATTTTAATTTACTTGTTTGTGATCATGTATTCGCCAGTAGTGTCCTCCTCAAAGCAAGGCCTGTCTCAGTTTTCTATTTGTATCATTTGTATCCCCATTGCCTAACACTGTGGCCGGCATATAGTAGATATGCTTAATGTTTGTTAGTGATAGTAATAATAATAGGTTGGTTAGTCAGACTTATAGCCTAGGGTATGGGATCCTCACATCCTGGAGCTAAGCTAACTTTCCCCTAGCAAAAAAAAGGATAATCATACCGTTCTTTTCTCTGGAAGCCTCAGCAGGTACCTACAATACACTAGAAAGCAACAGATTGAATCTGGCATTTATGGAAAAGAGGAGGGGAAGGGAAATGAAAGGCCTTAGAGCAAGCAGGCTGGAGTCTTGGAGCATCTTATTTTTGCTCAGTGTATTTATATATTTCCATGGATTCCCCCTCCCCTATATCCTTAAAAATCAATGGTTTCTGAGCCAGAAATAGTATTATAGTGATGGCTAGAGAGCAAGAAATTGTTGAAATGGACAATTTACCAAGTATGAAAACTGTTGACAAAAAAATTCAATAAATGCCAATGTATGCTTTGTTTTGTATCTGTTACCCCTCATGATGCAGCTTACGATAGAAAGAGCACTGAACTGGAAATCAAAAGACCCAGGTTTGAGTGTAGGTCCTTTGACTTGGCACTTTTCTTCTCAATTACTAATCTGCAAAATGGGTATTCTCCTGCTGTCTACCTCATATCCCTACTTCTCATTCCCTCACCCCTATTCGCCTCAACCCTACCTCTTCTGTGTCCCAGTCCAGCTCTGCCCACCCCTTCCGCCGAGCCCTCTGGAACTTTCATTTTATCTTTACGGAATTTCCCTTCATTTTAGAACTTATCCTCTCATGCTATTTCCATCTCCTGGCACACATGAAGACCTGGCTGTACTCACAAGACACTCCTTTACCAGTACTGGTTCCACATTTTCCCCGCATCTCTTCCAATACATGCTGGTCCCAGAGGGAGTTGCCACACTCCTTGCTCCTTACTGTCGCTTCTAGACTCTTCCTCTGCCACTATTTTTCAACAACTTCTCCTCCTTTGAGGTTCACTCTACTCAAATATATCACCCAGTCCAGATCTCTGTGGCAACTGATTATTAGACCCCAGGTTATTCTCTCTCTGGTGTTCTTCCCCACCCCAAATCCTATCCTTTTACTAGGGAACTTCATCATATATGTTTATAATATTACATATGCATTATCAACAATCAAACACGCTGGCTTTGGCTTCCCGGTTCCTCAGTCTCAACTCCCATACCTTACTCTTTCACTCCACCACAGCCACACACAGGTACCCTCATATAGTCCTACTCTTCCTATCACCCACAAGTGCTCTACTTCCATGATTGGGAATCCTGAAATTTTTTTATCCAACCATAACCTATCAGTCAGTCAATCAATAAACATTTATTAAGTGTCTTTTAGATGCCAGGCACTGTGCTAAGCCCTGAGGATACAAAAAGAGGCAAAAGACAATCTCTGCTCTCAAGCAGCACTCAATCAAATGGATGAGATAACAATCAAACAAATATGTACAAACAATTTATATACAGGATAAATAGGAAATGATTAAAAGAGGGAAGATACTAGAATTAAGAAGGTTTGGGAAAGGCTTTCCTTAGAAGACAGTATTTTAGCATTCCAAGATTGGGAATGTCCTGAGAAAATGTCCAAATCTGAGAGATAGCATGCCTTGTTCGTGGAACAATGAGAAGGCCAGTGTCCCTGAATCCAACAGTATGTGTTGATGAGGACTAGAGATTAGGTTATGAAGGGCTTTGAACTCCAAATGGGATTTATACTTTGATCCTGATGGTAAGAGGGAGCCACTGGAGTTTACTGAATAGGGGAGTGACATGATCTGATCTGTACTTTACGGAAATCGCTTTGGTGGCTGAATGGAGGGTGAATTGGAGTGGGGTTAGATGAGGCAAGCAAACCCACCAGCAAATATGAGGTGGTAGAAGTATCAGAGGAGAGAAGTATTTGAGAGATGCTGGCAACAGATTGGATATGGGGAATGATAGTAAGGAGTTGAGGATTACACCGTAGGCTGTGAGCCTGGGAGACTGCAGGATGGTAGTGCCCTCAATAGTAGTAGGAAAGTTTGGAAGGGAGAAGGATTTGGGGAGAGAGATAATGAATTCCATTTTGGACATACTGAGTTTCAGATGGCTAGAAGACATCCAGTTAGAGATGTATAGTAGGCTAGGGAGGTCAGCAGAGAGGCTACTACTGAATAAATCGGAGAATCATCAGCCTAGATATAGTAATTAAATCCCTGGGAGCTGTGATGAGGTCACAGTATAGAGGGGAAAGAGGACACTCATTTTAAGTAGGTGTGACCTGGACGATGATCCCACAAAGGAGACTGAGAAGCAGGAGTGCCAGGAGAAAGTGGTGTCCTGAAAAACCTAGAGAGAAGGGAGCATAGAGGAGAAGAGGGTTACTGACAGAGTCAAAAGCTGCAGACAGGTCAGGAAGGATGCGGATTGAGAAAACCCATTCGATTTGGCAATTAGGAGATAACTGGTAAATTTAAAGACAGCAGTTTTGGTTAAATTATGAAGTCAGAAGCCAGATTTTACAGAGTTCAAAAGTGAAAGGGAATTATAGATAGCTATTTCAAAGGAGTTTAGCCACAAACAGCAGGACAGAAATGGGATAGCAGGGATGGAAGAATGGAGTGACAGTTTTTTGAGAATGAGGGAGACATGGGCATATTTGTATGCAGTAGGGAATGAGACAGTAGACAGGGAAAGGTTGATCATTGTATTAATTAGAGTTAAGTCTTTTAAATTTTTCATTTTTTACAATATTGTTATAAATTGTTCTGTTGCTTCTGCTCACTTCACTCTACACCAGTTCATTGATGTCTTCCCATATTTCTCATTGGGAGAATAACTGTCCCTTTCATCATTTCTTATAACACAACATTCATACACCACTATTTTTTTCAGTCTTTCCCCAATTGATGACACTCCTTCAGTTTTCAATTCTTTGATTTCACAGAAAAAGTTTCTATAAATAGTTTTGTATATATAGGACTTTCCTGCTTTCTTTCATCTATTTGAGGGACAGTCATAGTAATGTTAACCTTCCCTCTGAGGATATACCCCAAGGCCTAGGCCCTCTTCTATTTCTCTACAGGCTTTCTTTTAGTGACTTCATCAAATCCCATGAGTTCAGTTAACATCTCTATGGAGATGATTTCCAGTTCCATCTAAATCTAGCTCTCGCCTCTCTTCAGAGCTCCAGTAAAGCATCTCCAATTTCCTATTGGACATTTCAAATTAGAAATCTGATTAGGCATTCAAAGCCCTTGATTTTCTGGCCCCCTCCTACCTTTCTAGTTTAAACCTTATTCACTCACTGTTCCTTAGAAATGAAACTCCATCTCCCTACTCTGGACATTTTCGTTGTCTTTCCACCATGCATGGAATTTTCTCTCTCCTCATCTCCATCTCCTGACTTCCCAGCTAAAATTCTACCTTCTACAAGAAGCCTTTCCCAATCCCCCTTACTGCTAGCTCCTTCCCTCTGAAATTACTTCCAGTTTATGTCGTACATATCTTGTTTGTCCTTGCTGTCTCCCTCGTGAGACTCTGAACTCCTTGAGATCAAGGACTGTTTTGTGCTTTGCACATATATAGCCAGTGCTTAATAAACACTTGATGACTAACTCAACATATCCAAAATGGAAGTCATTATCTTTTCCCAAAACTCTATCATTCTTCTGAATTCTCCTATTTCTGTTGAGAGTACCACCATCTTTCCAGTCTCTCAGATTCACCACCTCAGTCTTCAACTCCCTATTCACACTCACCCTGAATATAAAATCAGTGGCCAGGTTGTTTTTTGGGTTTTTTTTTGGGGGGGGAGTGTTCAGTGGTAGTTTTTTATTTGTCCATTCATCCTCCATAGAATTTCTTGGGGCAGCTAGGTGGCACAGTGGATGGAATTCTGGCCGGCCTTGGAATCAGGAGGACCTGAGTTCAAATCCAGCTTCAGACACTCGATACTTACTAGCTCTGTGACCATAGGCAAGTCACGTAACCCCAATTGCCTCACCGGGGAAAAAAAAAATCTCTCCCTCTTTCTCTTCACTCATGTAACAAACTGTCCTAATTCAGGCTCTCCCTAACCAACATCTTCCCTGGACTATTGCAATAACCTTCTTTGGTAACTGGTGTCCACAAATCCAGTATCTGTGCCTTTGTACAGCCTGAAGTACACTCCCTCCCCATCCAGACCTCTTAGAATGCTTGGCTCCCTTCGAAGCTCACCTCAGTCCTGATTTCCTGATTCCTAATACCCCTCCCCTTTTGGACTCAGTGATACCACTACTAAGCCTATACCCCAAAGAGATTTTTTAAAAAAGAGAAAGAGAAAGGAAAATCCAAAAATTTTGTAGCAGCTTTTTGTATTGAGTAACAACTAGAAACTTGTTAGAGAATACTGAACAATTGTGGCATGTGAATGTAATTTTGCTGTAGGAAATGACTGAAAGGGACAGTTTCAGAAACACCTAGGAAGACTGAATTGAACTGATGTAGAGTGAAGTGAATGAAGTGATGCTATAACAACACTGAAAAGACAGGATTTTGAAAGGCATGGTTTTTCATTGGACCAAGCAATAATTCCAAATGACCATTAGTGAAATATGCTACCCACCTCCTGACAGAGAGGTGGTAGACTTAGGTTACAAAATAAGACCTATTTTTTGGACATGGCCAATATAGGAATTTGTTTTGCTTCACTGTGTTACAAGGTTTTGTTCTTTTTAAACTAAATTTTTTTAAGTGCTATGTAAGTGCAAGTTGTTACTATTAGACAATTAATAAGGTCCCTTCCAGGCCAAGATCCCATGATGTTAAAGTCTAATACAGTGGAAAGCACACTGGCTTTGAGGTCAGAGGACCTGGGTTCAAAACACTCCTGAAAGGAGGACCGCCTGTGGGAACCTTGGGCAAGACACTTGAGCTCTCTCCCGGCCGCCCCAAAGACATTTCTTCATCCTAGGGGGCGGGGAACCTGCGGCCTCAGGCTACGTGTACGTCGAAGCCGCAGCTTCCCCACCCACTGTTCCTAACTAAGCGCCTGGGTAAGATGGATCCTTCCAACCCCAAATTCAAAACCAGATTCTAAGTACGCTCCTATGATCCTTCTGGCCCAACCTATTCAAGGTTGTGTTGAAGAAATAAAACAAAATTCTCAAGCCCCGAAGTCAACCACGGTCTGAGGCCCGCCTGAAGAAGCCCCACCGATGGACTGCACCGCTGAGGGAGGAAGCGGGAGGGGGCAGGGAGCGTGGACACGCGAAGGCTCGAACCCTCGAGCGGGCCTCTTCCAGGAGCCCGAGGGGAAAAGCCGTTGGCCTGCTGGGCGGCTGGCAGAGGAGCTTGGGGGCAGCCCCGGCTCTTCTCCTCCTCCGATTCCTCCTCGTCCTCTTCCTCCTCAGAGGCTGTCCCTGCGACCCAGGGCCGGGGGAGCGGGAGGGAGATCTCTGGGAGACGAGCGAGCCGCTGTTAAAAGGGGAAGGAGAGGAGACCCTCGCGCGGCCGACGAAAATGGTGGGCCCCGCGAACGCTGACAGGCCCGGCGTCGCCCGAGGCTGAGCCTGGACCGGGAGCTGCACCCGCACCGAGTAAGCGACCAAGGGGCGGGGCGGGGCGGGGATGGGACCGGGCGGGGCGGGGGCGGGGATGGGACCCGGCGGGGCGGGGTAGGGATGGGGACCCGTCAGCCTTAGGAGGTTAGCTTTGAGGCAGTTCTGCCCCTGGGGGCGAGCAGGGTGAACGGATAAAATTCAAAAGGAACCAAGATAACGGATAATTCGAAAGAGGTTCCGCAGGGCTTGGACCTGCCGAGCCTTGGGCTGAAGACCTGTACGCCCCCCCCCCCCGGGCTCGGTCTGGTTTCTCGGGTTGGCAGCTAGTTGGTGCCCGACTGCGGCTCCGGGGCGAGGAGGGAAAGGACCCCACTCCTACCTCCACCTCCCCTCCCCACCCCACCCCACCCCCCGGCGATTCCACCTTCGCCGCCAGGGGGAAACCTAGCTGAAAGCTCTCGTTCAAGGTCACGTAGCTCAGGAGAGGCCCAACCCGAGCACAGTCCCCCTGTCCAGTGAGCTTGACCCCACCTCTTCCTACCTGCCCTCCCTGCCATAAGTGTCCTCCAAAGAGGACTCACCCACCAGAACTCTTAGCAGATGATCCCGAAAGACAAGGTCAGGGTGTAGGCCGGGCTTTGGGGTGTTAATAGTCTTCTAACAGTAAGGGAGCTGAGAAGCAGCACCTCGAGGAAAGGAAAGAAGAAAGGTGGGCTTCTCAGGTAGGCCTTGGGTAAGGAGCATTGGGAACAGATGTAGTGTGATCTGCATCGAAGTCATCTCTCATAGCTGTCAAAGCCCATTCACTTGCTCATCATCAATGACTTAAGACTCCCAGAGCTGGAAGGGCTCTTGGAGGTCGTCTATTTCAATCTTCTTCCCCCTATTTTTACAGAGGAGAATACTGAAGTCCAGAGAGGCTTCTGAGGTCCTCCTTTGAATTAGTAGCAGAGTCAAAACTGAAATGAAATTCAGGCTTTTTGCCTGTTTGTGAGAAGGTACACTTTTGTAGTGAAGATTTTCAGCTTCTTAGAGTGCTCTGTGTCCCATCTCCAGCCTCCCTTTAGATGGTTTATGTTTATTATAAATAATAGTTATTATTTTTAAGAATGATAAGGCATCTTACCAGACAGGCCTCAGAAAATAATAGTAAATGAAGGAGATCATTTTTAATTGCCCCTTTTTTGGATCTCAGAATCATATTCTTAGACCTCCAAGGCCCCAGTCTAGTATAATAACGCTTACCTGAATAAGAATATTCTTTACAACATACTCAAAGAATTGACATTTGTCCTGCTTTTCCTTAAAGATTTTAAAGAGAGATGGGAATCCACACCAGTGGAGACAGCCCATTTTACACAGAAGCAATTCTAATTGTTAGGAATTTTTCCCTTATATCAAGCTTAAATTTGCCTCTCGGAAACTTTCTCCCATTTTTCTTAGTTCTGCCCTCTAGGGCCAAACATCTAACTCAAAACCTTTCTGCAACACAGCTTTTCAAATGCTTGGGAACAGAGATAGAATTTCCCTATTAAGTCCATTCTCCAGTGTAAATAGCCTTAGTTTCTTCCATTGATTCTCCTATGGCAAGAAGTTGAGGCTGTTCAACAACCTGGTTGCCCACTTTTGGATGCCATCCATCCAGTTTATCACTGTCTTTTACAAAATGTAGCACCAAGTACCAGACACAGTGCTGATGTTGTGTGATCAGGATAGAGTATGGCAGGACCATATCTCATAACGTTGTGAGTTCCTTGAGGGCAGGAACAATCTTTTACTACTTTTTGTGTCCCTAGAGCTTGGCACAGTGTCTGGCACATACTTAATAAATGTTTACTGACTATAACTTCCCTAATGCCTTTCAATGCAGCCTGATTACATTTGGTTTTTTTGTTTGCTTGCTTTTGACTGTCATTATTATTAGTTTTGACTCACAGAGCTTTCAGTCTGTTAAAACAGAAAAATTTGTTGTTTGGCCATGCCTCCCATAGCTTGCATTTATGAAATTGATTTTTTGAATATAAGTGTAAAACTTAATATTATCCTGATTAATTTTACAACAAAATTTTAATTTTTTTTTATTTTTTACAACACAGACATTTCCAAATATCCCTGTTATAGTCTTCCTTCGTTACAATAAATAAATGAATGGGGGGGGAAACTGTGTATTTACTCTGTGCCGGGTTTATTTGAGAATATTTAGAATTGAGGCAGCATGGTGGTCTAAGAGGGGGGTTCCATATCCCTAAATCTCAATTAATGTAACTAACAAGATGCTCTGAGCTCCGATTACCTTTGTCAGGTAAGAATGCCTCTTTGATTAAGTTACAGAATCAATCAATTAAAGTCATAAACTAGATATGAATAATTGCTAAGCACTTCTATTCAGTCAAAGATATAAATTAGGTACACATAAGTCCTTAACCAATTTGTGAGACCAAAGTACTGGGATTGATTGAAAATTGATAATACCACACAGGAAAATATATTTGTTTAAAGAGAATCAGTCTTGATCTTTGGAGATTAGATGAAACAACAAGCCAATTCAGAATCCAGTACTCCGATGCCAGGCCAGCCTAATTGTAGAGCAGCTCCATCCAAGCCTCTGAGAAGGAATTGCTTGGGAAGGTTTGTTGGGTCAGGGGAGAATGTCTCTCTCCTCCCTTCTCCTTGACCAAAGGATAGATGACCTTATAAACTTGAAAAGGTCAGAAGATTTTTGTACTCTATTAGACTAGTTTGCAGTGTGCCAGTGACAGAAACAAGAAACCAAGCAATAACTAGCACACCAAGGTAAGACAACATTAGGACCCTACAAGGTCACTAATCCTCCCCAGAGACCAGAAGAAAGCTCCCCCCAGCAAAAGGGAGCTTCATGTGGAAAAGGACTTGTAGAAACCTGAAATGCAATCTCATACTCATCTAGGCAATCACATGCATTCACTGTTAAAGAAGTGAATTCATCAAAATCAACTGACCACCAAGGAAAGAGGCATGTTTAATGATACTAATATGGATCATTAGCTTTAATCAGAGTTCAGCAGACTTTTAGTGTTATTTTAATTTGCACTATGATAATTATTGTTGTTGTTATCCTGGTTCTACTTTCTCTGCTTTGTATCAATTCATGCAAATCTTCCAATGTTTCTCCTTTTTCTTCCTTTAAGATCATCAAAACATAACAAAAGCACTCCCAGGCCTTTGTCTCATTCAACTTCTTTTGTGACCTTTGGTGAATTAGAGTTCTGAAAAGACAACTTGCATCATCTGCCCCATTAGAAGGTAAGCACTTTGTCCTTGTATAGTTGCTTCTAATTACTTGCTCATATTTTCCTTTTTATACTTCTTACTCATGTTTTGGCATTTCAGAGTTTCTACTTAACCTCTGATCTTTTCATCAAAAATGCTTGGAAATCCTCTGTTCTGTTAAATATCCATTTCCCCCTGTAAGCTAATACTCAGCTTTGCCAGATAAGTTATTTTTGTATAAGCACATATCTCTTGCCTTTGCAACATCATATTGCCAGCTCTGTACTCAGTCTTGATTCCATGGCATTTGAATTCTTTCTGATTGCATGCAGTACTTTTTCTTTGACCTGGAAGTTCTTGTCTGACATTCCTAGAGTTTTTATTTGAGTTTTTCTTTCAGGATGTGATCCATGGATTTTTCCTCTTTGCAGTTTTCCCTCTGATTCCAATAGATCTGTCAGTAAGTCAGTAGAAATTCATTAAGCAGTTACTATGTGCCAGACACTGTGCTAAGCACTGAGGATACACAAAAGAGTCCCTGCCCTCAAGGAGCTCACATTTGAACAGAGGAAACAATATGCAAGCAACTTTATAAATGAGCTGTATTCAAGATAAATTGGAGATAATCAACAGAAGGAAATCCCTGGAATTACCTAAATTAAGGATAGGGAAAAGGCTTCCTGCAAAAGGCCCTAGCAAAGATGACTGAGAAGAAGCAGCCACATAGGTGAATTGGGAGAAAGTAGTGTTACAGAAACCTAGAAATAAGAGACATCAAGGAGAAGAGAGTGATGGATAGTATCAAAAGCTACAGAGAGGTCAAGAAGGATGAGAATTGAGAAAAAGCCATTAGATTTGGTAACTAAGGGATTACTAGTGACTTTGGAGAGAGAAGTTTCACTTGAATGATGAAGTCAGAAGCCAGATGGTAGAGAGTTAAGAAAAGAGTAAGAGAAAAAGAAGTAAAGGCAACTATTGAAAACATCCTTCTCATGGAGCTTAGCCACAAAAGGGAAGAGACGCATGGGACAATAGCTAGTGAGTATTGTTCAAGTGAGGGTCTTTTCAGGATGGGACGTGGGCAGAATTGTAAGCAGTCAGGAAGAACAAAATGGACCAGGAGAGATGGAAGAAGAGTGAGAGAGTGGGAACATAGAGGGGTAATTTGCTGGAGAAGGGAAGGAATGGGATCATATGTGCATGTAGAGGGGTTTGCCTTAGAAGGAGAAGGGCCACCTTATTATGTGAGATAGGGTGGAGAAGATAGTGGCAGAACATATCTGAGTGAAGTAAAGTGAGGAGGAAGGAAGAAGACGGAGCTCTTGACATATGGCCTCAATTTTTTCATTAAACTGTGAGGCAGAGTTTTCAGCAGAGATTGTGTGTGCGTGTGTGTGTGTGTGTGTGTGTGTGTGTGTGTGTGTGTGTGTGTGTGTATTAGGGGGGAGGAGAGCCATAGAACATTTGAAGAGAGATGAAAAGATTTGGAAAAGCTGCTGTGGTAAATGGGATAGTGAATTAATTAGGGATGTGTATATATACTCCATGTTCTACAAATAGAGAAGTAATGTATTTGTGAGTGTGGCAAGATCAAGAGTATGATAATCTTTGTGTGTGGCTGAGATGGGGAAAAGTAGGTCATGTGAAATGAGTAATCTGAGGAACCCTGAGGTTGGGATGTTTGAGAGAGTACCAGTATGTATGCTGAAGTCTTCTAGCAGGAGTTGAGTAAGAGAAAAACTGTGAGCCAAGCAGTGAACTCCTTAAAGAAAGAAAGCAAATATTCTGGAGGTTGGTACACCAGCCACCAGAATTTTGATTGAGTGGTAGCTGTGGATTGAGAGTACCTCAAAGGAGGAAACGTTCCTGAGTGACAGGAGCAGAGGGAAAACTTGGAAGTGGAAATGGGGACCAAGGAATATTCCAAGTTCCCCACCTCAACCAGTGAGTTGGGGAGAATGTAAGTGTAGCCAGTGCTAGAAAGGGAGGCCAGGGAAGTTATGGTGTCAGGAGGAGGAGTCTGGTGCTTGATCAAATGGTGTTTCTCTTCCTGAAGGTGTCAGGGAACCAGACAGGACACCTTGCTTGTTGAAATCCAGGCAGTTTTCTTTCATGATTTCTTGAAATATCATATCCAGACTTTTTTTGGTGATGTCTTTCAGATATTTCAATGACTTTTAAATTACTTCTCTTGGATCTGTTTTCCAGGTCATTGTTTTTTATATGAGAAACTTTAATTTTTCTTATACTTTTTCAGGCTCCTAACTTTATTTTAATATTTCTTGTCTTATAGAGTTAATTTCTGCTTGGTTCATTCTAATTTTCAAGAACACTCTTATGTGAGTAAAATTGAGTACTCTTATACTAAGCTGTTAATTCTTCCAAGTCTTTTTACTAAAACTCTTGTTTCTTTTTTTTGGGGGGGGTTAGATATAAATTTATTTATTTTTAGTTTTCAATATTCACTTCCACAAGTTTTTGAGTTCTAAATTTCTCACCCCTCCCCCCACCCCAAGATGGCATGCATTCTGAATACCCCTTCCCCTGGTCTGCCTTCTCTTCTATCTTTCCCCCCTCCCTTCTCTTATCCCCTTCCCCTTCTATTTTCCTGTAGAGCAGGATAGACTTCTGTACCCCATTTCCTGTATTTCTTATTTCCCAGTTTCATGTGAAAACATTTTTTTAAAACATGTGTTTTTAAAACTTTTGAGTTCCAAATTTTCTCCCTTCCTCCCTCCCCACCCACCCTCATTGAAAAGGCAAGCAACTCAATATAGGTTGTACATGTACAGTTATGCAAAACACTTCCTTAGTAGACATGTTGTGAAAAACTAACTCTATTTCCCTTAATCCTATCCTGCCCTCCCATTTATTCTATTCTTCTTTTGACCCTGTCCCTCCTCAGAAGTATTTGCTTCTGATTACCCTCTTTCCCAATCTGCCCTCCTCTCTATCACCCCCTGCTCTCTTGTCCCCTTCTCCCCCTATTTTCCTGTAGGGTAAGACAGATTTCCATACCCAATTGAATGTGTATGTTATTCTCTCCTTAAGCCAAATCCTATGAGAATAAGATTCCCTCATTCCCTCTCACCTTCCCCTGTTTCCCCTCCACTGTGAGAGACTTTTCTTTTCTGTTTTTTTTTTGTGAGATAATTTACCCCATTCTACCTCTCCCTTTCTTCTCCGAGTATCATCCTCTCTCATCCCTTAATTTTATTCTCCAGATATGACCCCTTAATCTTCAACTCACCCTGTGCCCTCTATCTATCTATTACATACATACATACATAATTTTTTTCCTTCAACTACCCTAATACTGACAAAGTTCTCATGAGTTACAAATATCATCTTTCCATGCAGGAATGTAAACAGTTCAATCTTAATAAGTCTCTTATGATTTCTCTTTCCTGTTTACCTCTTCATGTTCCACTGAGTCCTGTATTTGAAAGTCAAATTTTCTGTTTAGCTCTGGTCTTTTCATCAGGAATGCTTGAAAGTCCTCTATTTCACTGAATGACCATTTTTTCCCCTGAAGGATTATACTCAGTTTTGCTGGGTAGGTGATTCTTGGTTGTAATCCTATCTCCTTTGCCCTCCAGAATATTATATTCCATGCCCTGTCCTTTAATGTAGAAGCTGCTAAATCTTGTGTTATCCTGATTGTGTTTCCACAGTACTTGAATTGTTTCCTTCTGGCAGCTTGTAATATTTTCTCCTTGACCTGGGAACTCTGGAATTTGGCTACAATATTCCTAGGAGTTTTCCTTTGGGGATCTCTTTCAGGAGGAGATCTGTGGATTCTTTCAATTTCTATTTTGCCCTCTGGTTCTATATCAGGGCAGTTTTCCTTGATAATTTCTTGAAAGATGATGTCTAGGCTCTTTTTTTGATCATGGCTTTCAGATAGTCCAATAATTTTAAATTCTCTCTCCTGGATCTATTTTCCAGGTCAGTTGTTTTTCCAATGAGATATTTCACATTGTTTTCTAATTTTTCATTCTTTTGGATTTGTTTTACAGTGTCTTGATTTCTCATAAAGTCACTGTCTTCCAATTGCTCTATTCTAATTTTTAAGGAAGTATTTTCTTCAGTAATCTTTTGGACTTCCTTTTCCATTTGGCCAATTTTTCTTTTTAGGGCATTTTTCTCCTCATTGGCTTTTTGGACCTCTTTTGCCATTTGGGTTAGGCTATTTTTTAAGGTGTTATTTTCTTCAGTATTTTTTTGGGTCTCCTTTAGCAAGCTGTTGACTTGTTTTTCATGATTTTCTTGCATCACTCTCATTTCTCTTCCCAGTTTTTCCTCTGCTTCCCTTACTTGCTTCTCAAAATCCCTTTTGAGCTCTTCCAAGGCCTGGGACTGATTCATATTTTTCTTGGAGGCTTTGGATGTAGGAGCTTTGATTTTGTTGTCTTCTTCTGGTTGTATATTTTGATCTTCTTTTTCACCAAAGTAAGATAATATAGTCTGACTCTTTTTGCGCTGCTTGCTCATGATCCCAGCCAATTACTTGAGTTTTAAACTCCTTGTTAAGGTAAGAGTCTGCTTCCAGTGTGGAGAGTGTACTGTCCCAAGCTTCAGGGGTTTGTGTAGGGACCTGTAAATTTTCAGTTCTTGCAAGGTGGTATGATAAGGGGCGAGGTGTTTACTCCTTTTCTGGCCTGTGACCACAAGTATTCCTTTCTGTCCCCTAACTGTGAGGAGGGGTTTCTCTCCACAGCCACTACAAGCTCCACCACGCCAGCGCTCCTCCTCACCCCAGCACTGCCGCCCAGAACTTTGACCCAGATCCACACATGGGCAAAGCAAGAGATTCCTGCCTCAGCACTGGCAAAGAGATCCCTGCAGTCCCTCTCTGATCAGCCCCCTCAGTCTGTGGGCTGAAGCTCGGGAAGCAGCTGCCGCCCCCTTCCCCCCACCCACAGGCTCTTGGGGAATGGAGCTGAGACCCCGCCTTCCTCTCTGACCACCGACAGAAACAGACTTTTTCCACTGACCTTCTAAGTTGTCTTTGGCATTGGTGGATTGAGGACTCTGGAAACCTCCACAGCTGCCCACGATTCAGTCCTCTTGAGGCCTGCTCCAGGTTTGCTGTGGCCTGCGCCCCACGCTGCGCTCCCAGCCCGGCACGATACACCTTTCTGATCAATCATCCAGGTTGTCTTCGTCTGGAAATTTGTTTCACTCTGTCTTTTTGTGGGTTCTGCTGCTTCAGAATTTGTTTAGAGCCATTTTTTATGAGTATTTCGAGGGGTTTGGAGGAGAGCTCAAGCAAATCACTGCTTTCACTCTGCCATCTTGACTCTGCCCCAACTCTTGTTTCTTTTCAGTTTTTTTGTCTACTTCATTTATAATGTCATTTTTAAACTCTTGCTTCATTTCTTCTAGGAATTCTAGTTGATGTTGTGACTGAGTTGTGTTTTCCTTTGAGGCTTTTCTTGTGGATGGTTTAGAGTTATTCTATTTGTGTCTTGGGCATTCCTGACACCATAGCTCTTTATTGTGGAAGTCTTTTGTTGTTGTTCTTTATTCATTCTTCCAGCCTTATTTCCCTATTCAGTATTTTACATGAGAGCCAGGCTTTGGGCACTTCTGGAGGAAATTTCTGGTCCTTATTTCATCTGTATATACATATTCTCTGAGGTCCTTTTACAGCTTTCTCCAGGTTTTGGGTTATGAGTTTTTTGAGTATCTCAGGGCAGCCTAGGCTGGAGACCTGCAAATTTTCATACCCTAACCAATTTGATCCAGGGTGAAGTCTGATTGTTTCCTCCTGATCTGAGTTTTACAGGTTTTGACTCTGGTTTGGGTCTCTGGTTTATGTCTGTGACATAACAGGCTTGCCTTGGTTAGAATCCCATTAGACTTCTGCTACCTCCATCCCTTCCCTATCAACCAGCTGAAAGGCTCTGCTGGTTCAGAGCAACAGAACCCATGCTCCTCCTTGATCTGAGTTCCTTGCCCTAGTTACCCAATTGCAGGCCTCAGACAGGGCTAGGGATTGAATCCATGATTCTACTCTGGGGTCAGGGCCACAAAGCATCTATTCACTTCTGTCCAGTCACAGCCACAAACCAGATCTTAGCTGGATCTGCAACTTCTCCTAGCCCTAGAACATAGCCCCAGGCCCCGTACCTAGCCATAGTCCTGCTTCAGTCCAGACTCCCCAGTGGAGCAACCCAGCTGGGGAGACCAAGCAATACTCTGACCCCTGTAGCAACAGACTCCTCACCTGGTACACAGGGTCAGTTCCTGCTGAAGACACGGCTGCTGTATGGCTGCTTGCAATACGAACCTGCAAGTCAATCAGTCAATACATAGTTATTAAACCCTACTATCTGTCAGTCAGTCAATATATAGTTATTAAGCCCTACTATCTTCCAGGCACTGTGCTAAGTGCTGTGGATACAAAAAAAAGATAAAAGACAGCCCCTATACCAGAGGAGCGCACAATCTAGTGGAAAGCTGCAGAACTGCAAATATGCAAAAAACTATGAACAAACAAGCTTTGTACAGGGTAAATCGGAAATAATCAGTGGAGGTAAAGCACTAGAATGAAGAGGGATCAGGAAAGGCTTCCCATAGAAGATGGAATTTTAGCTGAGACTTGAAGGAAGCCAGAGAAGCCAAGATGATGGCTCTTCTCTGAAAGTAGAGATGAGGAGGGAAAATATTCCAGGCATGGGGGCAACCACTGAAAATTTCCATTGAAAATGATGGAATATCTAGTTTGAAGAACAGCAAGGAGGCCAGTGTCACTGGACTAAAGAATAAATGGGGTTATGTAATGTGTAAGAAGACTGCAAAGAGGAGTTGTTATAAAGGGCTTTGAATGCCAAGCAAAGGATTTCATATTTGATCCAGGATATGATAGGGACTCACTGAAGTTTACTGAGTAAAGGGAATGGCATGGTCAGATTTGTGCTTTAGGAAAATCACTTTGACAGCTAAGTGCATGATTGACTGGAGGGGTTTAGTCCAATTGTGAGGTGATAAGGACCTGTATCAGGGTGATAGCAGTATGAGAGGAGAGAAGTGGGTATATACCAGAGGTGTAATGGAGATGAAATCAACAGTAGATAAAATCAACAGGTCTTGGCAACCATTTGGATATAGAGAGTGAAGAGTTGAGGATGACACCTAAGTTGTAAACTTGGGGGACTGGTTAGAAGGTGGTGCCCTCAGCAGTAATAGGGAAGTTTGGAAAGGGGGAAAGCTTGAGGGAAAAAGATAAAGAGTTTAGTTTTGGACATGTTGAGCTTGAGAGGTCTTCAGAACATCTAGTTTGAGATGTCCAGGTTGGAGATGACAGACTGGAGATCAGCAGA